TGTGATTGTTGTTTCTTTTTTCTTTTTCTTTCTTTCTTTGTTTGTTTTGTTTATTTATTTATTAGCTCCCACTCCTAAGTGAGGACATGTGGTATTTCTCTTTCTTTGCCTGGCTTACTTACAATTTTCTTCAAGATCATCCATGTTGCTGCCAATAACACAATTTTATTCTTTTGTATGGCTGAGTGGTATTCCATTGTGTGTATATAAATACCACATTTTCCTTATCCAGTTGTCCATTGATGCACATTTAGGTTGTTTCCACATCTTGGCTATTGTAAATAGAGCTGCAATAAGGGAGTGCAGGTATCATATCCCTTTGACATGATGATTTCCATTCCTTTGGGTATATACCCAGCAGAGGGGTTGCTGGATCATATGGCAGTTCTACCTGCAGTTGTTTGAGAAACCCGCACACTGTTTTCCACAATGGCTGCACTAATTTACAGTCCCACCAACAGTGTAGGAGGGTTCCCCTTTTTCCACATCCTCGCTGGCATTTGTTATTCTCTGTCTTTTTGATAATAGCCAGTCTAACTGGGGTGAGCCAATATCTCAATGTGGTTTTGATTTGCATTTCTCTGAGGCATAGAGATGTTGAGCATTTTTTCATGCATTTAACAGAGTAATGATTAACCAAATAGGCTTTAACTGGGTCTTGAAAGTCAATAGGATTGGCCTAGACAAAGATGGTGACAAAAATTCATTCCTGTTGGAAATGAAGTCACAGAGTATATTAGTGATCGTAGGGCTGCCATAACAAATTACCACAAACTGGATGGCTTAAAACATCTGTAATTTATTCTCTCACGGTTCTGGAGGCTAAATCTGAAATCAGAGTTTCAACAGGATCGTATTCTCTCTGAATGCTCTAGTGACCAGTCCTTCCTTGCTCTTTCTAGTTTCTGGTGACTGCTGGCAATCACTGGCATTCTTGGCCAGTGGCAATTTAACTCCAGTCTCTGCCTCCCTCCTCCTCTCCTGTATGTCTCTGTGTCCCCAGATCTCCTTCTCTTGATAAAAAAACACCAGTCATTGGATTTAGGGCCACTCTAATCT